AAAGCATTTATATGATAATCTTTAAAGAGTTCAGACATTTACATAGAATCTATAAAATCACATAATCTCTAAACCAGTGGTTCTCAACCTTTCTAATGCCACAGCCCTTTAATACAGTTCCCCATGTTGTGGTGACTCCCAACCATAAAATTATTTTCGCTGCTACTTCATAACTGTAATTTGATACTGTTAATGAATTGTAATGTAAATATCTGTGTTTTCCGATGGTCTTAGGCAACTCTGCTAGTGGTTCTCAACCTGTCATGACCCACAGGTTGAGAACCGCTGCTGTAGAGCCGCCTAAGACCTGTCATGTGGGTCATGACAGGTTGAGAACCACTAGCAGAGTTGCCTAAGACCATCGGAAAACACAGATATTTACATTACAATTCATTAACAGTATCAAATTACAGTTATGAAGTAGCAGCGAAAATAATTTTATGGTTGGGGGTCACCACAACATGGGGAACTGTATTAAAGGGCTGTGGCATTAGAAAGGTTGAGAACCACTGCTCTAGAGGGTTTCATTCAGTTGTCAAATAGATTGATAATAATGAAATAATTGTCTGATTGACCTCCTAGAAGATGTTATTGGTGAGTGAAATAAATCAGCCAGAGAAAGACAAATACCATATGATTTCACTTATATGTGGAATCTAAAGAGCATTATAAACGAGCAAACTAAATAGAAATGGACTCATAGATACAGAGAATGGACTGATGGTTGCCAGAAGGAAGTAGGGTGGGAGACTGGTGAAAAAGGTTAAGATATTGAGAAGTACAGATTGGTTACAAAATAATTATAGGAATGTAAATTACAGCAGAGGAAATATAGTCAGTAATCTATACTAATAAAAGGGTAATATGTTAATTAGATCAGGTCAACCAGACATCTTCTGGTCATCCTGCCTTCCTTCCAGACAAAGCCATGGTGGCAGGGGCCGAGGCAGAGGAGGTTAGGGGCAATCAGGCCGGCAAGGGAAAGTAGTTAGGGGCAATCAGGCCAGCAGGGTAAGGCAGTTAGGGGCAATTAGGCTGGCAGGGGAGGGCAGTTAGGCGTGACCAGGCCAGTAGGGGAGAATGGTTAGCGGTGATCAGGCAGGCAGGCAGAGTGGTTAGGAGTGATCTGGCAGGCAGGCAGTGAATGGTTAGGAGCCAGCAGTCTCCCAGATTGTGAGAGGGATGTCAGACTGACAGTTTAGGCCTGACCTCACGGGGATTGGGCCTAAATTGGCAGTTGAACATCCCTTTAGGGATCCCGGATTGGAGAAGGTGCAGGCGGGGCTGAGGGTTCCCCCTACCATATACACATTTCATGCACCAGGCCTCTAGTCTATATATATAAAACCCTAATCAACTGGTCGACTGGTTGACTGTTTGACTAGTAGCTATGATGCACACTGACCACCAGGGGGAAGACGCTCAGTGCAGGAGCTGCCTCCTGGTGGTCAGTATACTCCCACAGCTGACCAATGGGCACCAGATGCTGGGCTCATGGCTGGCAAGTGCAGCTGCAGTAGCATAAGCCTCTCTCGCCTCAGTGGCAGTACTACCAAGTGGCTGTGACAGATGCAGCTGGGCCAGGATAAGCAAGAGCAGTGCCTGGCCTGGGCTCGGGCCCCTCCCGGCCACCTGCCATTTTGTGCACTACTACATCTTTCGGGGATGTTGGACTTCCTGTTTTGGCCCGATCCCTGCAGGCCTGGCTTTGCACACTTACTACCAGTTTCTGCCTGCCTGGCCTGTGGGGATCAGGCTGAAACCAGCAAGCCAGCATCCCCTAGGGACCCCAAATTGTGAGAGGGTGCAGGGCAGGCTGAGGGACCCCATCAGAGCACAAACCTGTGCACCAGACCTCTTATTGTATATAATAACTGTGTATAGTGTCAGGTGGGTACTGGAAATTCTGGGGACCACTTAGTAAAGTATATGATTTCCTAATGCCATACACCTGAAAGTAGCACAAAGTAATGTTGAATATAATTTTTTTTAAAATAAAAAATAGTTTAAGTCAAAAAAAAATTGTCTGTTTAAGATGAAAAATAATTTTTCATTTTCGTAGGTCTTTTTACACAAATGCTATAGTTTTTTCAGAGCCAGCTTAGTAATAGAAGATCAAGATCTATTTATCCTTTTTTTCTTCTTGCATCTTTTCTTATCATCCAGATCCTGGCATTGTGCTTTGGCAGGCCAGACCGTATTATTAGGCATGACAGCCTGCTGAGATTGTGGGACTTGACTCTGGGCCCAAAGCCATTATGGTCCATTATCCTTCTCTACTCTCAAGGTTAATACTAACATATATTACAGTGGTGAAGAGAACAATATAAGTGATCAGTGGATTAGACTCCCTTTGGTACTTAAATATCACCTCAGTATAATTTATATTCTTAAGCAAGATGATTAACTTTTCCAGTTCATTAAGATGTTATTTGATGCAGTTATAGCTCAGAGGAGTTTGCTGTGTACGTCTGTGTGACTAATGAGCAGATGAGTTTTTTTCCTATTTGCTTTCTCTTATGTAACTCTTTCAAATAAAGACCTTATTTTTTTGAAACACTGTGAAGCTACTGACTTACAGGTTTTTGAGGTACTCAAGCCTGGAAAGATTGTGCTTTCGTAGGAATCACAAATCATAACCATGTCCATGGTTTATTATATGACTCATTTTTATTCTGATTAGAATATTGAACTGGGGATACATAGTACAGCTTATAGATGAAACTGCCTTACGATGGCATGCCTCTGATGTTTTAATAACTTACTTTATAATTCCCAATATGCGATATATATTGCATATTTTATGTACACTTTTCAATCTTAGTAAGATTTTAGTATAAAGTCATGTATATTGACAATTTATCCTTTTCTTATTTCAAAATTGTTCCAGGAGTATTATAACTACTGATCTCCAGAGAACTGAGATATAGATGAGTTATGCTATACTATCATTGATTTTCAGAATTAGAAAGGACTTTGAAGGTAATTATAGTGTACATTACATTACAGCTGACTTTGACACATGCCTACTATCCCTTTCCATTTTAACTGCAAAGTGATAGAGCTAACGTCGGCAAAGTATACTCTATGCTCAAATATGGCCTACTGCCTGATTTTGTCAGGCTTATGAGCTAAGAATGATTATTACATTTCACATGATTGAAAAAAATCACAAAAATGATTACTATTTTGTGACATGAATATGATATGAAATTCAATTTTCAGTGTCCATACCAGTGTTACTGAAACACAACCATGCTTATTTGTGCACATGTTGTCTTTGACTATTTCTGGGCTGTAAAGGCAGAGCTGAATAATTGGGACAGAGATTGTATGGCCCCCAAATCCTAAAATACATGATATTTGGCCAGTTATAGAAAAGGTTTGTCTACCTCTGGTTTAGAGAGCTGACTCTAGAGTAGGGGTGTCGAACTCAATCAGAGAAGGGGCCAAAATCTAAAATCCAGCCTAAATCGTGGGCCGAATGGTTTACTGAACAGTCATAAACTGTCATTGTGATGGAAACGCAGCGGAGTGCAGTGATGACAGCGCGGTGCGGGCCACATTGCAAGGCCTGGCGGGACGGATTTGGCCCGCGGGCCTTGTGTTTGACACATGTGCTCTAGAGTATAGGTCAGGTCTTAATTCATTTAAAGCTCCATGGTGGTGGTGGTGGGGCATTGCTTTTGCCAGTGATTGGCTCAGCATAGGCAAAGCTGTGTCACTTGACAAAGGAGAATTTTTCCTGAGCAGGGGAAAAAAATAATGATTTTTTTTTTTTTTTAGAGAGAGAAAGTCTCAAAAAGGAAAAGAATCTATGGATACCAGTGAAGTATTTCCTTGTTGTTCTTGGCAGCTTCCTTATGACAAGGAAAATCAGCCTGAGGTTAAAGCTCACACTTAGAGAAAGGGAATGCTGACAGAATCAGAGAGAATGGAATTCAATCCAGCCTAACTTGGATCTTCCTGTTTTATAAGCCAATGAAAGTCACTGTCTTAGTTTGATTTGGGTTTTCTGTTATTGATAAACCCAATTTGGCCTGCACTTGATACAATATTATAAAACACAGATGAATGTATTAAAACTGCAAGATTCAAATCAATAGCCTACTTAATGGAAATTGCTAAGGAAATCTTGTAGTGGGAGTTATTTACTGAGGGTGTCAGTATTCAATCAGTGCTTTAGGTGTCTTATGTCCTTAGTCATGGAGCAACATATGAGTTAGATATTATCTCCATCTTACAAACAAGAACCCTGAGGTTATTCAACTTTACAAAACCACAGAGTTGGAATGTGGCACAGTGGAAACCAAGTCTATTTTCATAGTCCATTGCTCGTTCACACTGGAGGAAAACATTGTTTGTAAGGGAGAATTCTGCTAATTTTTAAACCTTCAGTGTATTCAATGGGCAGTGGAAGGTAATTCATTGTGCTCCGTTTGTTTCATATAAGGAGTATCTAAAAAAATCAAATAAAGTTAATACCTGGTCATCTAAAAGCAGATTAATTACACTGAGGTTTATTGAAGTGAGCTTTGTATTACCAACAAATTTAAAATGCCTTTATTTACTTACTTATTTTATAGACATTTAGGACACTGCATATGGTAGCTATTATTCTTAATTATAGACTTCCGAAATCTCACTTTTTATACATTGTTTTGTGGTTATAGAAGGCCTTTTTTTACATAAACACATTTTCCAGGAAGGTTTGAAAAGTATGAAGCACCTTTTTCTCAATACATTTCAAATATGTCTATTTGAGATATAATCCTCTATATGATCACTACATATTTAAAGTTGAATGTTTATAATACAAAATTTCCTAAGTCTTTCTTGTGCAACTTTTCTACAAAGAGAAACTTCCTAGAGTTTTTTAAAGAATTTATTCCTATTTTAAGATGACTAGTATTATCTAGAGGCTGGGTATTTGGACTCACAGGTCCCCTGCTGCCACACTACAGGAGAGCTGTGCTAATCTTCCCGCATTCCCTTTCCAGATATGGTCCTTGACCAACAAGTGAGCTCAGGTCAGCTCAATGAGGATGTACGCCACAGGGTCCATGAGGCACTGATGAAACAGCATCACCACCAGAATCAGAAAAAACTCACCAATAGAATCCCCATTGTCCGTTCCTTTGCTGATATTGGCAAGAAACAATCAGAACCAAATTCCATGGATAAAACTGGTAAATCTTCCTTTATTGTTCTCTTTATGTTTATCATAGGCGTTTGAACGATCCAAGTACTTCTAAATCCTCTAAGATATTTTTTATTTGAAAATCGTCTATCAAAATTCAGATTGTTGTTATAAAATTGTTTCTTTTAATATACTTATGTAATATTGTTATCAAGCATTGGATTGTAGAAATTTTAACCAAGAATTTAGGTTCCCCAAAGGGCTCATGAAGTGATGCAAGGGAAACTTTAGTTAATAAGAAGTGGTAGGCTCCAATGCAACAAATAATAAAGTGAGTGTCAATTGCATCCCAAACAAGGTCCTAGACTTTATCTCATAGCTTGAGACTAGAATGCAATACTTCAACTTATGTTCTTTCAGTTAAAATGAATGTGATCTTTATTTAGTGTTTGTGGGGCGGGGGGGAAGATACTGGTTGCATATAGCTTGTAGTCAACAAGTCCATTAGACAATGCTTTTGAAAAGACCAGCTAGGGCATTGCTTGTGGCTCCACATATATTAAGCCTGATTTCTAGTTCATGGGCTCATTCTGCATCCATAGAGCTACCATGCTTACCGTCTTCACACACAAACACAGGAGCCCCCAACCATGGTTTTCTACCAGTTATGACTTACTCCCTATGGTTTGTGCTTAAGACTGTTTTATCCTTTCTGTATTTTGTTCCTCCTTTGATCCATTTGGTCCTTCATCATTTACATTAAAGAAGTTGCTTAAGAATCTTGTTGTTATCTAGCCTTTCCATTAGTCTTAGGAAGGAAAATAAAGTTATCATGAGGATAATATGAATTTGTTAAACTTTTAAAAAAATAAATCTTTATTGTTCAGATTATTATAGTTGTTCCTCTTTTTCCCACCCATAGCTCTCCTCAACCCAGTTCCCATCCCACCCCATGCTCTTATCCTCCACTGTCCTCATCTATAGGTGTATGATTTTTGTCCAGTCTCTTCCTGCACTCCCCACAGCCTTTTGAATTTGTTAAACTTCTATCAGCTATAAGAGTTCCCAGCTTTAAAAGATAAATATTAATAAAAAATAATTGCAAATGCTTTCCTAGAAAGAGTCTGATTTCCACAAATGGACTAAAGTATATGTATTGTCAGCATATGTTATTTTATATAATTTCACTTCTATTTTCAGGCTTCAGAGATGCCTTAAATACAAATGCCATGACAATGAATTTTCCTCAGACATTTTTTTATATGGGAATTTTACCAGTTTTCATGCTATTGAATCAAATATACTACACAAAGAAGTAGAATAAATGATAAATCAATAAATATGGTAGAACATAGAACCAGTTCTTATTGGCAAAATGATTTTGGAAATATTCATTTGACTTTCTAAAGACCCTTCAATGACTGAATATAAGTCATTGTTATGTAGATGTGTCTGTAGTTGTGTATATATTGAGTTTAGTAAAAGTGTTATGAGCATTTTATGGTCTATACAAATTTGTATTTGTGAATTTCACTGAACACCTTTAGAATTTATAACTGCTTCAAGTCACCTCATATGTTTGAAATATATCCATATTCTAAATCGTAATTTACTTAAAATATGTTATACATAAAAATGACATAATGAAGCTTTTTTATTTTAAGACAATATAAGTAGCACTTTTACTATTGTTGCAATATTAGTATTTATTTGGCATGATGTTATTAAGAAAACAGACTTGGATGTTTTACTAATATTGGCTATGGGATTATGTCCACATAATTCCAAAGACAGTATTAAATATTCCCATGAATTAATTTTTGGGACTGTAAGCACCAAAAAAAAAAAAAAAAAGTCTGCCTTCACTCCATTACTTTAACTGGAAAGCAGAGTATAAAATATATGCCTATAAGAAGAAAATGCATTTATTCAAAGGTGCAAGGACCTTGGACCATTAACTAGTCATAATTTATATGTCAAATTTCACTGGGGATAGGTTTGCTATAAAATAATTTTATTGCATTAAGTTCTTGGAAGAAAGGTTGCTGAATTTATTGGATGAACCGTTTATTGTAATATCATGTAAACCTGGACATACTGTTTGTTTTTTCTTTAAACATTTGTTAAACATAGAAAGAGAGATAATTAGAGCCTTGAATCACAAATCCACATATAGATACATAGAAATACAACATTTTATGAGAGCCTGTTTTTTGTCTTGTTCAGACAACTACTTAGTTTTTCTGAAAACTAGAATGTGAGTAGTTCTAAAGCGATTCTGTCACCATATGTACAGTCAGCCTTTATCTTAACATATACAGACCCATTGGAGGCATAAGTTATGATAATAAAAATTTGGAAACATTTCTAGTAAGATTCATACATCTAATTAAGTATTGTAGACTGTGCTGTCAGAAGTGGTGTTCTAAGCCTAGGCCTATAACACCTCCTTATGACTCTGTTTTGCTTCCTCACACACTTTGCATAATTATGTGTATTGAGAATTCTGAAAATATGTATAGACTTCACCAATTTAGAAATAAATTTATCCAGAAGTAAAAGCAGTGTGAAAGACCTTTATTACTAAGGTTCTCAATCTGCTTATGAACTCTAAAAACTGACAAACTTTGGATAAACAAACATTGAAATTCATAGCCATAAACACAAATTTGGGATTATATTTCAAAATATGCAATAGAGATTTTTTTTGCATAGAGATATGCAAAAAGATTTCAAAATGTACAAAAAGGAATAACAATATTTTTATTATTTAAAAATATATCTTCAGTAGATAAAGATATAAAAAGATGAAATTTTCATTTAAGATTATAGACTAAGGGATCAGAGAGGATTTTCTAGCAACTTGAAAACAAAAACATGCCGAAACCGGTTTGGCTCAGCGGTAGAGAATCGGTCTGCGGACTGAAAGGTCCCAGGTTCGATTCTGGTCAAGGGCATGTACGTTGGTTGCGGGCACATCCCCAGTAGGGGGTGTGCAAGAGGCAGCTGGTCGATGTTTCTCTCTCATCGACGTTTCTAGCTCTCTATCTCTCTCCCTTCCTCTCTGTAAAAAATCAATAAAATATATTTTAAAAAAAAAAGAAAAGAAAAGAAAGAAAACAGAAACATTTTTCTTCCTAAGTACAGGCTCTCTTCTTTAATATGCTTTTGTTTTGGAGGCAAAACAATTGAAACCCCCTCTCCCCAAATGAACTGATGCTTATGTTAAGAAGTCTGAAGGAACGATATAGAGTAAGGTTTCTACTTTCTGAATTGACTTGACCCTTTAGCATGCTACCTTGGTAGTATTCCCAAGGGCTAACCATTCAGAGAAGTTTATCTGAATTTCAAATATGGATCTTTTCTACTATAGATTTTATGTATTTCCAAGATAGTGATTTCCTTGGTCCTCTCCTCCCAAGCCCAAAATATTTTGTTCATAATATTTTTAGTGATTTGTGGTAATGTATTCAATCTCACCTCCAGATATTACACTAGTTTTGATTTTTTTGTATAATAATTTTCTTGGTGTTCTGCACATTCTCTTAAGGGCTAACATGCAGGATGCTATGGATTCACTATGCATTTTTAATGCCACCATGCTGTGTTTAACTTTCACTTTTCATTAAGCATCAAAACTGTGAGCATTAAATGTCTGATTCTGATGTTTCAATAAAAAATGACAGTTACATTTGGCAAAACAACAGCAAAAAATAATTTAAAAATAATATCTTCTTTAACATTACAACCCTGAAAAAGATATGGGAAGAAAATACTAAAAATGAATATGTGATTATTCTTTGAAATTAGAAGGACTTTCTAAAAATAAAAATAAGACTTTTGTATTAAATGATATAGAAAAAAATCAGTATTTGTATTTATAATTTATATAGGTTATGCATTCAATTATATTTTGAGACATTTGGATTATAAATCTATTATAAAATAATATTACCATAGAAATAAAGTTTATATTAAAAATAATTTAGGACTGTTAGTTTCCTCAGGTATAGAATTTTTCATTCCAATGTGTCTTTTACTAATAATTCTAACTTTAATTTTTTTCCTTCATATATTTTTTTCCTTCCTATTCTGAATACTTTCCAGTTGTACCTTAAAAAAACTTTTTAAAATTGATTTCAGAGAAGAAGGGAGAGGGAAAGATGGAAAAAACATAAATAATGGGAGTCATTGATCAGTTGCCTTTTGCACACCCCTTACTAAGGATTTTGAGCTCACAGCCTGGGCATGTGCCCTGACCAGGAATAGAACCGTGATCTGCTGGCTCATGGTGGAAAGCTCAACCACTGAGCAACACTGTCTGGGCTCCAGTTTTACCTTTTATTTAAAATCTCAAAGGAATTACAGAGCAGAATGTCTCTGACTTACTTTAAAAAAAAAAAAAAAACACATAGTTTTCCTGGAGAACATTTAGATTTGGAAGGATGGGATATATGTTGATTCTTCCGGTCTGTGCACATGTATTGTGAATGATTTTTATTTATAGCCTTTGGAAATCAGTTTTATTGCTTTGTAAGCATTACTTTTAAAAAATGTTGGACTTTTTATTTTCAAATGTACTATGTTTTTATGTGTATTTAGATATTTATATGCTTTCTTATTTTTAAATACTGTGATCTCATACGTAAGATACCAAAAGTTATAAATTATCCTTCACAGTGTTCTACCTTTGAAGAAATAAAGCTAGCATAATAATTCTTAGAATTACTTGGAAAAAACAATATAGTAAAAGTTTCATTTTGAAAACAGATTTAGACATTTTATAATAAAGCTCCAAAATGTCAAGATAATATTGTAGACACAATTGATGGCTGTTAAGAGGCTATATTATTGCTACTGAGTTTTGGAATGTCAGAACTAGTTTTAACTGCAAAACTATTTCTAGTATGATGTTTTTAAATTTGTTATTTCTTATATTACATTTTCAGGCATAATAATTTTTTCCAGGTTTAATTAAGTGCATACTTTTTATGTTTTTGAAGTACAGTTCACTTAATCAACATTTTCTAAATATTTAGCCTTTCTTTCATGTTTCCTATTTCCATAAATTAATGTATTGTTACACATGTTTGTAACTTTGTCATTCATCTTTATATTTCTTTATTTTGCTCTGTCTTGTGTCTGTCTCTAACAGGCTCATCTCATCTCTGTACCTCCCTCATCTCCTACCCTTTGGGTACTCTAAATGCGTTGAAGGTTTCTGAGGTAGTGTAAACCAGCTTGGTCTCTAGGTTAAAGTAATGTACCTCCATGTCTTAATCACAGTTTCCTTCTATTACACATGATTTTCAGTACATTGAGCAGTAGGAAACAATTATATTCTTAAGTGATATATTCTTCTATTGATTTGAATTTGGCCAAATAGGAATTATGGTGCTGTTTTACAATACTTATGTATATAATTTATTTGAAGACAAAGAAAACTATAGGTAAGGACTAAATACTTAAAGGTTTTTTGACAACATATTTTACTGTTGTGTTTTAATAACATGTTTTAATGATACTGATGTTACTTAAATTAGTACTTTTGACATAATCTCATGTTACTCCCCTACAAATTTATAAGAAGAGAAATGGCTATGCCAGTTACACAATGGACCTACTGGGAAATTTATGGATTAGCAAGTAGAAAGGCAGAGTTTCCATAGTCTAGTTAGTAATCACCTGAATTATTCTCAGTTTTCTCCTGTGCTTATCCCACATCTTTAATGATTTTCCCTAGAAAACTTCTTGTCTATAATAACTTTACCCAACTCATAGACGATCCCTACATAGAGGTCCAGAGGACAAAATGAATTCATGATTCAAAAGAAAATTTGTTCAAGCAGTTACTAATATGAATACTAGATAATTACGCATTTTATTGATAAAATATATTACATATATCAAAATATATAACATTAAAAATGTGAACTCTTTGAGTTTAAAGGTTTGGAAAAATAAACACATATGGTAAACATACAGGATAATGCTAAGTTTCTCAAATGTTTACACTTAAATAGCTATGTACTCTTCCCAATTAGTAATAATGGTATTCATTTTTTCATCAGTTTTAGAATAATTTACCCTGAATGTAATGAAGTTACTGACTTAATAAGTGTCTTTTTCTAAATTGCTTTGGATAGTCAACTTCATGTCTCATAATAGATGTGATTAAACATTGCAATGACATTTATTTATAGGATATATTAATATGAATAGTGATCATGGGGTGAAGTGATGGTTATGTAAAGAAGCAGGAAAAAATGTGTATGTTCACAAGTATTGTGGCATAGTGATTAGACCAATTATAAAAAGTAGCATTCATAAAGCTATATATATATGCTAAATCCCAACTTTATACGATTTTGTCTTAGAGGGGAAAATAGCCCAGGACATTCTTTGTTATTCTTTTAGGAAACATATTCACTTCCTTTGGAAGAAAATTCTGTACCTGAAAATTGTCATTATATGAACTACTATTGTTTTAGACATTAGTGAGGAAACAAGGGATGCTCTTTTAAAACCTAAATTTGCTGTTTCTTCTTATGTAATATTTGAGTTAATGAAAGTCATTTTGAAATTCAAGCCCATCACCTTCTTTTGAAAGGCAGTGACTATTGAAGTAAACAAAATAAATTAGTGCTTAGACAAATAAAGATTATAGTTGATAACAAAATTATAGAAATTATGAAATTTCCAGTAGTTCAATAGATTATAATTCATGTGTGCATTTTAGTTTAATAGAGAGCAAATAAAATTTTAATTTTTTTTAAAGTCTTCTATTTTTTCAAAATAACCCAAACCAAGCTTGTTTAATTTTGAAATAATATTACCCATATATTTTTCTCTATCCTGCTAAGTTTTCAGATACTGCTTTGAAGATATATAAATTTAATGTGTATTGTTTTATGTTAACACATTAATGTGCATATTGATAAATATTTTTTGTAGGACTCTAAACTTTGCAAGATATTTGGAATATGACATTGTTATTAAAAACATTTAACTACTAATTTTTACTACTGTTAACTATTACTGCTGAAATATAAGAGATACCAAATTTATAGTTTATATTGCTAGACTGGTAGTTTTTAAGCTTTTATTATTTTTTTAAATGCATTTTTATTGACTTCAGAGAGGAAGGGAGAGGGAAATAAAAATATCAATGATGAGAAAAAATCATTGATTGGCTGCCTCCTGCATGCACTGGGGATCGAGCCCACAACCTGGGCATGTGCCCTGACCGGGAATCAAACTGTGACCTGATTCATAGGTCAACAGTCAATCACTGAACCATGCTGACCGGGCAGTTTTTAAGCTTTTTTTGTGTTAGCATACATCCTATGTACATATCTAGAATCCAGAACTAGCAAGGAAATTACTAACATCTAATATGTCTCCTGCTAGTTAAATACTCTACACTAGGTCATTATCAATATCCTTAAAATATTTATAAGAAATAGTTTTCAAATTGCTTCCTGATTATCAGCTTTATGAAATAATATTTTGTGGAATTTTTATCATATAATAACAAAAATATTATAGAAAAATAAATATCAAAATATATTAATATTTACAAGATAAAAAACAAGTAAATGTTCTATTTATAACATATATATGAAAACATAGGCTATTAAATTTTAATTTATAGCATATTTTATATACAATTAAATTTCTTCAAAGCCGATTACACTTAATTAACTATTTTTTGTGTGTTTCTTGCTGATTGAATTAAATGATTGTTCTTCCATGTATTTTATACATCATCAAATAAATTATTAAAAGAAAGCAGATATATGTTTATTTAATTTTTTAAGCTTTGAATTTCACCACTCAATTTTACAGAACATTCAGTAAATTTAGGTTTAAATATATCTAATGTTCTATCTCATGAAAATATGGAGAAATGTTGTGAAACTGGTGATTGAAGACATCTGTTAGTAGCACAAATGCATTATGTAAAAGGTTTTTTTAAATTAGTTATTATTTTGAGAATGATAAATTCAATGGCTGCTAATGAATAGTTCACAGTCATAGCTGCACGTTACAGTTAGAAATGGGAGAATGAAAATAATCAATGCTGCTTAAGACTATTATTTCTCCAAAATTATATATGTGTCTTGGAATATGCTAAAATCAGAATTTGTATGCATGGTTTGAGGCACATTTGCTTTAAAATATCATATTAAAATCTTCACCAAATGTATTATTTTACTTTGTTTAGTGAAAGCAAAAAACTATTTCTCTTCTATAAGAATCTTGAACCCATTAAAAATTGTATCTATTAGTAAATGGCCCAGTTGAGAGGCTTAATAGTGCACAGGACAAAATTCAAGTAATATTTGAAAGTAAGTTATAAGTGTCTTAAATCACACCTGGCATTTTCTGGGTAGTGAAGAGTAAGTGGGATTTTGGGAGAGAATTTATAGAAAAGGTTTTATTTGTATATGTCCTAGTAGTTTAGAGGCATTCAGATAAGTACAGATTACAGTAAAAGGAGATGAAACTGCAGGTGAATTTGAATAAGTTGGGATTTAGGTAGGTAGAGAGAAGAACTAGGCAGACACAAGAGAGTGTATTCCCTATGTATAAGACTAATGAGAATAGGAGCAAGTAGTTTGGAGTACGTTATTATAAATATGGTTAAGGCTTTAAAGCTGGGTTGGCATCACTCATTTCACAATAAAAATAACAAATAAGTATGGAGAAACGTTAGGAAGAAGAAAGGTGCATGTGAAATCATGCAGACCTCTTTAATTTTTATCATTGAATTGCTAAACATGAAGAGCTTACAGATAAATTTAAATTAAAAAATGTTTCATAATTAGTGGATAATGGAATTTAATTATCATTTGCTAACCATTGTCATGTTCCCAGATCTGCTGTCCACTTAACTAATGTCATAATCTTCACTATAATTTGGGAAAGATGACAAAATAATTAAGTTCCTGGTTAATGTTAATGGAAAATTGATATAATTCAAATCGATTGATCTTTTTTTCTGGTCTCAATATCAGTATGCTTATGCAATTGAATAGTGACAAGCATAAAATCATAATCACACTGTTTGTACTGTATGAATGAACACTCTCATATAGAAATCTCCGAAAGTTGTCAAAAGAATTTTTTCTCAGTTTGTTCTTTCAGGTGCAATGGAAGCTACATATACGCCATGTGCTTTTCAGAGAAATATTCACCCTTTTTAAAAACTATACATTTTAAATTCTTTAGTCTGAGCTTAAATCATAATTGATGTCTACCGTGTTATTTAAAAAATATATATGTATATATAATCAGTTTTGGATAAAATGTAAAAATCAATGATGTTTCAAAACCATGATTACTTTTTAATAGTTTCATAGGTGATCTTCCTTCACAAGGAATAACTATTTAGTTATAGAGTTTTAACCTGGGAATGGGTTTACATTTTCTTGACCGAATTCTCCCATTTCTTTCTGTAACTGATAAATAAGAATATTAAAAGAGTTCTATTTATATTGAACCTTCATGCTTACCTCATAAACTCATTAAGGAACTTTGTTAGTCTAGTTTAATTCATATTTCACGCAGTATGTCTGGAATTGTGTAAGTAATTGTTTGTGTTCTATAATAACAATCTCTTTTAGCAGGTCAGGGTGTCTCTCCACAGTCTGCTCCAGCCTGTGTTGAAAATAAAAATGACGTGAGCAGAGAAAACAGCACAGTTGACTTTAGCAAGGTAAGCTTTTCTCCTTTTCATTTAAGTAAGCTGCTGAATTGTTACTGAAATTACTACACAAATTTTTGCATGCACATTTTTTTGTTGTTGTTACTTAGCCAGAGCTGGATGTTGTTATGGTGATGGCGTTTAAGTTCATATGTAGCATTTTACTTATGTAAACATGTACATTTTAGGCATAGAATTTAGGTTTGAGCCACTTGGTATAATGTATCGCTTCCAGTAAAAAGAATAGCTGGACTTCACAGAGAAGTTTCTGGAAGTTTATTATTTAAATGTTTGCTGTTTTCTCAAAGTTATATTTTCCTTTACTTAAGGAAACACAAATCATATAAAATTTCATTGTAGTGATTCAGAGAAAGGCATTAGTGTAAGAAAACACTGGATTATGGTGGAACTGAGCAAGGTTTCCAATGAAAACATAATAAAGATGGACTGTTGTGGGATACATCTAACTGGAGCCAATTCAAGTGCAATCTTAAATTATCACTTACTGAGATTATTCTAAGAAGATAATGAGTCTGAGAAAATAATGTGATTTTAGTCAGCGAATTCCTGACATTGTGCACGTGCTATTGTGGGCTATGGCAAACCAGCACTTAAACAGCAATGAGGAGTAGCAATACTGGCCAAAAATAGAGGGTCAACCATTCTCTTTATCTGAGTGGCTGAAACAGCAGTAACTCAGAGTGTGAGTCTGTGTGGTGGTTTTCCACCCCTAAAGTCTGTAACACTGACAACGATCATAACAGTGGGCGGAGATGGGGATGAGAGGCACCAGTCAAGTCCTGAAAAAAGCAATAGCAGTCAGCTCCCCGTTGCTGTTTCAGAATCCCTCTGCTAATGCCTCCGCGGTCTAGTCGTGTGCATGCTCGCCCTCTGGTGCCTGGCAGTCTCCGTGGCAGCGCGGTGTACCCGGTTAAGTCTGTTAATTATGCGCGCAGGGACTGGGAGGCCAACAAAAGGGGCACACTAGTCCCTGTGGGATGAAACACAGGCATGAAAAAGGACCTCCGCACCAGCAAGAGAGAGAGGTGAGGGCACACTCGGGCTATGTTTCCACCATGGTTCAAAGCTCATTTCACTGTATGCAGGCATGCGATTCAAACATTAAGCCAGCTCAAATGTAATCCATTTGCCTTTCCAAAAGCTATCTATCCAAAGCATTACATCTTCATTCATCTGCAAGTTGGAATGAAATTGTTGCAAACTGCCATACATTTAACTGCTGATATTCTTCATTGAAAACATTACCTTATAAGCAGTGACAGCCCTGAACGGGTGGCTCAGTTTATTGGAGTGTCATCCAGTATGCCAAAAGGTTGTGGGTTCAATTCCAGACAGGGCACATATGGGAGGCAACCAATCAATGTCTCCCCCTCAAAAAATTAATAAAACATATTTGGGTGAGGAATAAATAAATAAGTAAATGCACCGACATAAGAAATATCTTACTTATTTATGCAGGCATTTACAGTACAACATGGGTATATTTAAATTCTAAAGAAGAAGAAGAAGAATCAATTTTTATCCTTTCAACTAAATTACCTTTTTAACTTTTTTTAAAATTATATAATCCTTTCAAACTGAATTTTATATTTCCATACCATTTTACTTTTATTGTCTGACCTATCTTTGGCAGCCTTAAAAATGCTTCTCATTTAAAAGAAAATGAATTTTGTCAAGCAGAGACTAGACTTATCCTCAGGTCTCCCCAAACAATTAGAACTACAGGAGAGTGAAAAACACATTTTCTTTCCTTTAATCCTTTCGTTGCATTGCTTTTTCAATTACTTGTCCATTTCATCTTTTAATAGGCAAATTAAATTGCTAGGGCGCTCTACTCAGTATTAGCCTTCTGTATTCCTCAGTCTCTCATCCCCAGCATGACATCTTGGAAAGAACATGGCTTTTCACAAAAAGCGTGAGATCTGGAATCCTAACTCTACTGTTTATAAACTATCTGATCTTGAAGGAATTCTCTGAACTTCAGCTTTCTCGTTTGTAAAATAAGAACAATAATCCTATCTAATAAAAGAGTAATATGCAAATTTATAACCACTCCAACACACAAGATGGCTGCCACAAGATGGCCTGCAGGGGAGGGCAGTTGGGGGTGGTCAGGTGAGCAGGGAGGGCAGTTGGGGGGGAGGACCCAGGCCTTCAGGGAAGGGTATTTGGGGGGAACCCAGGCCAGCAGGGAAGGGCAGTTAGGGGTAATCAGGCTAGCAAGGGAGCAGGTAGGCATCAGTCAGCCTGGCAGGCAGAAGCGGTTAGGGGCAATCAGGAAGGCAGGCAGGCAAGTGGTTGGAAGCCAGCATTCCTGGATTGTGAGAGGGATGTCTGACTGCCCCTTTTAGACATCCCTCAAGGGATCCCAGATTGGAGAGGGTGCAGGCTGGGCTGATGGACAGCTTCTTCCCCCCAACCCCTGTGCATGAATTTTGTGCACTGGGCCTCTATAATAATAATAATAATAATAATAATAATAATAATAATAATGATGTTGTAAAAAATAAAATAATAGAGAGCCTGGCAGAGTGTGCTGGGAATGTAGCAGGCATTGTCCAGTTAAATATTTTCAACTTTAATATGTAGATTCAAAACCCCAGTCGAGTTTTGAGATGTTAATGGTAAAAAAACGTCTTTATTCATGTCATGTGACTTGATCCTATCTATATTCAATCTACATTTTTTAACCCTTCCAATGGCCAGGCCCATCAAACTTCCTAATTTAAGGAATTTTTTTTTAATATAATCTAAGTTGTCAGGTTGTCACTTCCTATAATATCTTCAAAAGCAGATGTGTCAAAATACTCCATGTCACCATTTCTTAAATTGACATGTAGAGGGTGGATATTTTATTATTTCCCAAATGTTGGTGGCATTTCTTTTATTTCAAACTAGAGGCCTGGTGCATGGGTTTGTGTACTGGTGGGGTCCCTCGGCCTGGTCTGCGGGGATCGGGCCAAAACTAGCTTTCCAACATCCCCCAAAGAGTCCCGGATTGTGAGAGGATAGTTCTTGGGTGACACGCCCTGGAATCAGGCTCCCTCCTCTCTTCTCTCAATTTTATGTGACTTTCTCTCTGTATCTGTCTCACTTCTTTCATCTCATTTTACCTTAAGTTTCGTGGTAACTGATGACTTGTGGGCATTTAGCTGCAAAGTGCAATTATTTAGCAAACAGGATTTACTTAGCCAGGAATCTAGTCAATCTAGGGCAGGACTCTGCTCAATGTCAGGCTCCTGCCAAGGCCCTTCCGTCCAGGCAGAGTCCCTTGGTGGCGGGAACCTCCTTCTTCCCACCTGAGCTGCTCCTCCACCTTCCCTCCCTGGAGGTTGCCAGCTGGCACTACTCTCTGCCCAGAAGGAGGGAAGCCGTGGCTGTTTTCCCAGCTGAGAGTGGTAGTGGGAAAATTTGCTGCCTCTGCTGGAAATCAATATTAAGTGGATGGGCCAGAGCAAGCACCTCATTTAGCTAATCGAGTCAAAAAAAGTTTCTGTATGGGCCAGACCCAGGACCTCTGCCTTGGGCTAGAGGCCTGGTGGGAAGCCAGATCCAAAGTGGAAAGCCAATGGACTAGAGGCTTGGTGCACAGATTCATGCACCGGTGGGTGCTCCAGCCTGGCCTATGGGGATTGGGCCAAAACCAGCTCTTCAACATCCCCTGAGGGGTCCTGGATTGTGAGAGGGCGGTTCTTGGGTAATACACCCCAGAATCGGATTCCCATCTCTCTGGTTCTGGGTGTGACACCTGAGAACTGCAGCTGCCAAGTCTCCAAAGCTCGGCAGCTCCTGCGTTGAGTGCCTGCCCCATGGTGGTCAGTGTGCATCTTGGCTACCAGTCAGATGGTTGAATGTTTGGTCACTTAGGCTTTTTATATATATATATATATATATATATATATATATAGACTCAAAGAAACATTCACATTATTTTCTAGAGAAAGAACTTTCTTCTGCATCTATCTTTAGCATGTAAAACATAGTATAAAGCAGTGGTTCTCAACCTTCCTAATGCCATGATCCTTTAATACAGTTCATAAAATTATTTCCGTTGCTACTTCAGAACAGTAGCAAAATTACAGTTATGAAGTAGCAACGAAAATAGTTTTATGGTTGGGGGTCACCACAACATGAGGAACTGTATTAAAGGGTTGCAACATTAAGAAGGTTGAGAAACACTGGTATGAAGAATTAGATGATTAAATCCTTGAACTCTAGGAAAACTCAGAAATCTCCTCATTTAGAAGGTGAGAAAGCTATCTCTCAGAGAGATTAAGAGAGCTGCTCAAGATCTCTGGTTAATGTCACAGTGCCATTCCCCGCCAGAGAATCCCTATTACTTTTATTGTACTTCATGTAATGGGCTTAAGACTTAAACTTTCCCCTAAAGTCCCATCCGTATTTCCTTCACATATCAGTGTGTAGCTTGACCACACTTCCGGTTCCGCCATGATCTGTCTACACTTGTTCCCTAGAAATATAACTGCTTCACACCTACTGCTTATGTGCCAAATGCTCAGAATGAAGCATCTTTCTCTTCTTAGCAAAAAGGTCTGCGGAAACTAAAAACAGGGTGTAAATCCTGATTCATAAGAGAAGAAGTCCTTCAAGGTCTTATTCAGAAGAACTGAAAATCCAGGATTTTTAAATGTTCATTCCAAGTGTTTTTAGTCAACTTGAGGATTGTCCTAGAGATGTATTCAATCTACAATAGTTCCTTACTCAGAGGTCTTTTAGGCAGTTGTAATTTTATTACAGGTTAAATTGTGGTCCTTAATTGTGACCTTTTGTTATATTAAAAGGTAGTTAATTATATTGCCAAATAAGGTTTTTTAATGAATTAGATATTAACACAAATACAAAAATATAGGGATGCCCCCAAGAATAATATAATACATAATTGCAACATAATAAAATCATTAGAGAATATAAAGCTAATACCCTCTCAACTAATTACTTCCAGGATAATATAATGGGGAGTGGGGATGGGGTTATAAGGGGTCAATAGGGAAAAGATGGGACCATGAAATACTTTCAACAATAAAGATTAAAAGAAATTTTTTAAAATAAAATTAAAAAAAGAATAAATAATGGCCCAGGCCAGTATGGCTCATACCCAAATTATCAGTTCCATCCCAGGCTGGGGTGTGTGTGGGAGGGAACTGATGGGTGTTTCTCTGTCACATCGATGTTTATCTCTCTCTTTCTAAAATCAATACAAACATTGAAATAAAGAATAATATAATGTAATGAGTATAATATAATGGCTACTTCAGATATATATATTATTTAACTATGACTTACTATGTTTGAAATCAATAGATAAATTTGTTAATCCTGAAATAAAAGTCTGTATATTTAATGCTTTTTTCTAAATTACAGGTATAAACTAATAATATATTAAGAATTATGTAATTCAAAAATAAAATTATGTGTAAGGACTATATATTTCCTTTTATATAATTAAACTATACAGATTATTTTTATATTTAATCCTTAGGATAAAGTATATACTCCATATAATGAGTTTTATTTTTTGTGTCATCTTTATGTTATCAATAAATTAAGTAGTTATAAACTTTCTAAATAGCTATGCTGACTTCTTGATTTAAGAAAGCAATGTATGTAATGTAGTCCCTAAAATCTGGCTATGGGCATTCTAAGGTACTTCTAAAAATTCTAATATTTTTCCATTTTAAACTTCTTGGAAAAGCTATTCTCATACCATTAACCTTGCAAAAGAACTGCCTGGCCCCTTAAAAAAAAATCTTTGCCTCACTTATATTTGCCAGAACTCTTTTCTCTCTCTCGGCTATTCCCACTTTGATCTTTGGCCTCCACTTAATTGACATAGAGCATAAAACCAATTACTAGAGCAGACAAAAATCTTATTCTCCCTATAAAGTGATTTCCATAAAAAGCAACTCAAATGAATTAGAACCAAGAAATAGGCCTTGCAAAATTGACTTTAAAATTGCTGTTTGGTTTGCGTTGAGGCCCTGCGCATAAAAATGAACATGTACTCTTAAGGACAGTTTACAGTCATTTTTCAGACTTCACCCTTTAAGCATTTCTTCTTGTTAATGATCACTTTTGTGTTGTGTGCATTCATTTCAATCATAGACATCTCATATAAGAAGTTCAACTATGGCTCTTCAGCCACCCCAAATGTTAAATTTTATATTCTTGTATTTTTTTAAAATCTCTGCTATATCTAAATTCTCTGATGAGAAATTAAAATTGAGGAATTATCAGGCTAAGTATAGAATGAGAAGGATATAGAATAAAGGTGAATACTAAAGTCATAATTAGCACTGTAAGGAGAAACATGTTTCTATTTCTTTTGAAATAGGCATATTTTGAGTATTAATTAAAATGTATTATGCATAAAATTTAGATGATGCAACCTAAAAATATTTAAGTCTATTGGAAAATCTGAATTAAATCATGACTCAAGCATATTAATTTAATTGAACACATGCTCCTTTCTCCCTCAATATTTCAAGATTGCTGATACTGAAGAACTTTTTCTTTAAGATATTAAATAGAGAACCTAGAATATTCAACTTATTGATGACAAGTTAGATAAATACGCAAGTAAAGAAAAAAGTTATTTTTGAAGGGAAAAAGACCTTTAACTATTTAAAAATGTGTTTAAACCATATACATATATAAGCTATATTTATTCAAATGATACAGTATTTATTGATGAATTACAATATGTGAGGCACTGTGCTAGCATGGAATTTAGGGAATTTTCCCCATTTTGGTTTATCTTAATTTGCTCTGTGATGCTTGCAGGTTGATCTACATTTTATGAAAAAGATCCCTCCAGGGGCTGAGGCCTCAAACATCCTAGTTGGGGAGCTGGAGTTTCTGGATCGAACTGTGGTTGCATTTGTCAGGCTGTCTCCAGCTGTATTGCTTCAAGGCCTGGCTGAAGTCCCGATCCCAACCAGGTAAAAAGTGTAACAGCATCTTTTGCATTTTTCTTAAAACATTTTTTTTGGTGGGGTAAAAAACAAGGAGTAAATGTAATTTACTCCGAGTTTTTTTCTAGAAATGAATCCACAAATCTGTTGTTTTATCTTGCTTGTGGAGATGGGGGGAAAGTTCCTTAAAATTATTCTTTTTTTTTTTTTTTTTTTTTTTGCCTTAGCTGGTTTGGCTCCTTGAATAGAGCATTGGCCTGCAGACTGAAGGGTCCCAGGTTCAATTCCGGTCAAGGCCACATGCCCGGGTGATCCCCAGTAGTGGGTGTGCAGGAGACAGCCGATCAATGATTGTCTCTCATCATTGATGTTTCTATCTCTCTTTTCCTCTCCCTTTCTCTCTGAAATCAATTAAAAAAAATAAAAATTTTATTCTGTTCTTTCCTCTCAAACTTTTATGTTTTCTTTCAGGCATGTTCCTCTTCTTTAAATACCACTATATAAATCCTTGATAAAAAGTGATCAAGTATTAAGCTTTCTCTAAGATTGCATTTGACATTGGGCTACTGAGGATCCTGTATACGAGTGTGGTCAAACTAAAAGGAAAAAAAAAAAATCAGTTTTCAAGATTGGTTAATGCTTAAATAAGTAGGCCTTCATGTACATGTAAGTGGCATCATTAGGATAGCCCCTGCTGTACTTAATGTACTGTATGTTTTAATCTTAGGCACAGTGTACTTCCCATATATAGAGTCTGAGGAATCGTTGGTAGAAGCATCTGGTGCTGAGACTGAATCCAAATATAAAAGCACAAATTTAATATGATTATCTGAACTTGTTTCTCTTTGAACTATGCATAAAAACAACAATTTAGGTATAGTATTAACTGAATTATAATTGTTTATAATATACCTATATTTTATGGATATAAGACTATTCACAAGCAAAAATATGCGAAAAAATAGTTGACTTTAGCACATTAGGTTCCTAGCAAATTCACCCAGGGACTTTGTTTTCTTCTCTTTTCCTCCATCAAATGTAATTTCTATATGAAGACAGCCTTTTATTCTGATTCTATTTTCATAGCAAAACATATCTCTCTCGGCCCCATCCTTCAAATGACTGGGGCTGATTGTGTAATGCTCTATTTCAGATGCTGTAGTATGCCTCCTCTTCCAAACATTGAATGCCTCGGCCAGATTAAGATGACGTAAGGTACAGGTGCTATGGCATCTGGGTTTATAGAATGTTTCCTCTATGAACCTTTGGCCTTTACATTAGAGTACATCACTCTGTGGCTTTAAAAAATACATTTTATTGATTTTTTTACAGAGAGGAAGGGAGAGGGATAGAGAGTTAGAAACATCAATAAGAAAGAAATATCGATCAGCTGCCTCCTACACACTACATACTGGGTATGTGCCAAGGTACATGCCCTTAACCAGAATTGAACCTGGGACCCTTGAGTCCGCATGGCTGATGCTCTATCCACTGAGGCAAACCAGTTAGGGCTCATTCTGGTTTTGATTATGAATAAAACATCCCCAAATATGGAACAGTTTAGTCAGGAGAGGCCTCATTTTGGAAGAGCTCAACCAGCTGGAACGGGATTCAGTGTTTGAGTACCTGTGCCTGAATCTGGTTTAAGGAAGGAAGCTGGTTACCATTCAGGTTACAGAAAGAGGTTTAGCCTTTTGGAGGTCTACTGAGACTTTTGTACATACTTTTATTATAAAAGGGGGAAGATGAACTGAGGCTATTAAAGTGGCATATGACTGTATAATTAAGGCCAGTTTTTCTACATTGTTGTTCTGTAACCTAATATCTAATGGCTTTATAAGGTATATGAATTTCTAGGAATTTGGGATTTAGATTTAAGATGTCAAACTTACTAACTTCAGAGGTATTATTTTAGTAGCTTAACATTCTTTATTAGTCTTCCAAGCCATGCATTCTTGTCGCACCATTTAAGATAGTGTCTGATGAACTCTGAGTAAATGATGGCTGTTTATGATCATGAGAGTTCCCGTCTTTCAAATGAAAGAAAAGAAAAAGTCCCAGGAGTAAAGACATAATGGGGTTATGGACCCTCACTTTGAAAACTGTCAAGATTTAGGTGACCTCATTTCATACTGACATAGCAAAATATGTGTAGAGAACAATGGAGGGAAAATTAGGGGCAGGGTAGAGCTGTAAAGGGACAGACTTGACTAACTAGGGAAGGTGAAAAGTAGAAGACTAGTTGGACAAATAGAATAAAGAAAGCCATCAAGGGTCCTAATTATCCTTTCTTAGGACACCATGACAGTACCAGCAACACAGTAAAAATGTCAGAAAATAATCTTTTAGGAATTTATAAATAGCCCATGGAAACTTGAAAAATAGCAACATGTACATAGGTTAAGAAATGTCTTAAACGCATTAGTTGTTAAAGCTTCTGCCACCACATTAAATGTATTCCTGTTTTAAATGTATAGTGGACATTTCTGTATGGTAGATATTGACTTGGGCTTGGTTTCAACTGAAACAAAAACTTAATGTCAGATCATATAGGACTGTGTAACATATGCTTCATGTAAAAACATGTACGTATAATTGCTAAGTAAATGAAGGGTAGAATTATAGTACCTATTTTTCATATACTTTACAAAGCCATTAGATATTCATACTTAAGAGCATAAATCATTTAACAAATGAATGCTGTAGAGTTATATTGCAGAATACAGAGCATTTAAAATTTTTTACAATTTCCCTGAAGCACTGACCTTTTCCCTATAGCATTAATTTGTCCTGCATAGTTAGAGCATATATTGATTTCTTTAAAAATTCCAGTTGTGATCATGAGTTTGCCTATTTATATGGGATATCACAGTTCAACTGGTATTTTTATTCCTCTAATATTGAAATTAATGTCTTTAATGTCTGGCTTTTTCTGCCTAACTGGCCTCTGATTCATGACAAGTTTTTGTTTTTTTTCTATTTGATGTACATTTTACATGCACCTATTGTTTTTTGACTATAGACTCTTTATTTGTTTATACAACTGTATTACCTTTCCCCACTTCTATCTAGTTCTACAATTTACTTATTAGTGATTTTTTTTTTTTTTTACAATTCAGAATTTTAAAAAATATGTGTTTATTGATTTCAGAGAGGATAGGAGAGAGGGAAAAAGAGATAAAAACATCAATGATGAGAGAGAATCATTGATCAGCTGCCTCCTGCACTCCTAGCACTGGGGATTAAGCCTGAAACCTGGGCATGTACCCTGACTGGGTATTGGACCATGAACTCCTGGTTCATGGGTCGATGCTCAACCACTGAGACACATCTGCCAGGCCAATTCAGAACATTTTAATCAGATTTTACTTTTGTCACCTTAAGAATGATAGAATCCTTAAACTTCTCACTAACAACTGTGTAGGCTTTATCAGTAATGAAATGGGAGAAATACTGAAATAAAAATAACCACAGATTCCCAATGCTTACAAATCTTAAGCATAAGAGACAAGCATTATAAACTATTTCAACTTAATAATGAACTGTGAAAAAATACAGAAGTATTTTACATGGAAATTCCTATATTCAATAATTCCTTTGAGATGAGTGATTATGTACTACTAAGATAATTTTTCTATTTTTACTATGAAACATTTGTTTTATTTTCTTAATTATAGGTTTTTGTTCATTCTGCTGGGACCCCTGGGAAAGGGTCAACAGTACCATGAGATTGGCAGATCGATTGCAACCCTAATGACAGATGAGGTATTTATTCAAGTTCATTGGGAACATTTTTGGCCACTAGGTACACATAACTTTTGGGGTTCCTGTATCGTGACAATTTAACATGACTTCGATTTCTCTGTATTGTCTCCTCCTTCTTCTGTTTTCACCGTAAAATTTCCTTTGGAGAAGTTTGCTTAAAAGGGGTAATAAGTTCACACACATGAATATAATACTTTAAAACCTCATATTGTAAAAATAATTTGTTATTTAGTGACATTTAGAATATATTATTAATATTCCCCTTACATTATATGTATTTTCAGAGCAAGCAGCATTATTACTGTCATTGTTAATCTTGTTTTGGGCAAAGTGATTTTTAAAAAATATATTAACAACTTAATTGAGGTAAAAGTCACAGGGTACACAATTCACCCATTTGAAGAGTACACTTCATTGGCTGTTAGTATGTTCAGAGTTGCATGCAAACATAGGGAGTAAGCAAAATAATTTTAAGGTCCAAGAAAAAACAATGAACGTTTATTGTATGTATGACGATAAAAATAGTATACATGACAATAAAAATGATGCAAACACCTATAAATTTTCTTTATAATGGCCTATATGTAGTTTTTCTTAACCTGGGAGTTTTTGAACCGTTAGAACTATAGATGGTTTTCAAGGGCCTGTGATCCCTCTGATATAGCACATACATTTTCTGTGTAAAGAATTTGTGTGTAGATTTTTCTGGACTGAACAAAGCTTTCATCAGCTTCACAAAGAAATGTATATCTAAAAAATGTAAGATCATAAAAATGAGAACACAAGATGTAACATTGTTTAACTAGGTCTTGTATTCCCCAACACTTTATGGAAATCTATTTTTATTATTTTATTGTTCTTCTTATTAAAAAAGAACAGATGCAAAAGATCACAGAAGGAGTATAAATTCAAAATTCAGTAGTAAATAACAAATGGGACTATACAAAATTAGAATCTTGTCTAAATAATTTAATGATGTATTTACTGAATTTATGGCTTCAGATACTTTAAAATCTGTAAAAAAAAAAAAAAAAAAAAAAAAAAAAAAAAAAAAAAAAAAAGAGCAAATTAACATTGGCTTAACTTTTACTAGCCTTACAAAATCTGAAGATTTTAACTTGTATTTGGGGGGTTGATAGAAATTATTCTTTTACATATGTTCAAATTGTGTTTTATGATTTTATATCAATTGTTTTTTTAATCAGGTTCAGAAAAAAAGAGAACAACTTATTGAGTATATTAGTTTCTATGGTTGCTATAGAAAATTAAAATAAGGTGATTAAAATAAGAGTAATGTATTTTATCATATTTTTGTGCGGCCAGTTTTCTAAAGTCAAGGTACTGGCAGGGCCACATTCTCTCTGAAGGCTTTGAAGGAGATCTTTCCATGTCGTTCCAGCTTCTGGTAGCTCATGGTGTTTCTCAGCCTGTGGCAGCGAAACTCCAGTCTCCGCCTCCATTTTCACATGGCTTTTCACATGTGTGCCAGCTACTATTCTGTCTCTTATGAAGATACTCATTGGATTTAGAGCCAGTGTAATCCAGGATGACCTCACCTTAGGATTCTTACCTTAACTACATCTGCAAAGACCCTTATTTCAAACTAGAGGCCCAGTGCATGAAATCCTTTCATGGGTGTGGTCCCTAGGTCTGACCAGTGATCAAAGCGCGACCATCTGGCATGGAAGGGCAGGTCTCAGCTTACCTCTGGGCTGTGGTCAGTACCGGGGCCTCCAAGTCCCCATGTCCCCCCCCTCTGCCTGAGTCATCAGGTCCCTGCCCAGCTCCCTCAGCACCTGCGAGCCAGGCAGTGACCCTGCCCCTGCTACCGCTGCTGCTGCTGGTCGCCATCTGCAGGGTAATTGGCGGGGCAATTGGGCCCTGCTTGAACCTGCCTTGTCCTGGCACAGCCCACTCACCTGCTCCACCATCCTGTGCAGTCCCACTCTGGTCAGGGCCCATCAGGTCTGGCAGCGCCTGCACTGCTGCCTGCTGCCAGTGCCATGTCGCCAACACTCCCATGTTCTATTTTATAACCTTATTATTTAATAATTGAAACAAAATTAACCTTTTAAATTAGTTCATATATGCCAAGGTATAAATATTGCTAAAATATATAATATAGTCTATACATTTTCATCTCTATTTTTAAGCAAAGGCGTCTTTCAGAAAGTTTGATTTAACACACATAAATAACCTTTGCCAAGCTTGAATCATTAATTCTAGCTTAATTAGCTTCCTTCTGTGGGACTGAAAAAAACATTAATACTTTTCTTCCTACCTTCTAAGTTCTTCTAGGCTGGGCTAATAACAAAATTAACAGATACTCATGAACAGAAGAGAATAAGACTTTACTATATGGACCTGGGGAATTCACAGAGGCATGAAAATTCCAAAGACAATGAGGCAACATTGGGTATCTAAAGACACTTTTTGGGAAGAGCAGGGAATTAGATTTCAGAAGTGAAAATGGGCTATCCTCAGGTAGTTGAGGAACACCGAAACAAACATGGCAAGAAAATCATTGCTAGGTGACTCAAAAGCACAGGGACACAGGGATATCTATCAATAGCTAATAAGCATCTGGCTAAAGCCTTCTTGTTCACCATACTTAATTCAACCTGTATCCTAAGATCTTCTTCCTGAAGGAAGTTTCTCTCTCTGAATCTCTTGGGCAGAAAAGGGGGAAGAATAAAGTTTCTTTGAGTCATTTGTTTCTTAATAAATAGCTTAAAATCAGTATCACTCAAAAAGCAGCTTCAGGTTGGCAGAATTTTGGTCCCATCCCTTCCATCCTCCTTCCCCTTCCCTTTATTCTCACCTCCAGAAATTTCGGCATTCATTTTGGCATTCTGAGAAAAATATATGTCTGTGGACATTCATATATAAAACTAAATTATAATATTTTACTTGAAAACATATATTTTCCCCCAAATTCTATAATCTCAGATGAGGTAACTGGGAAATGACAACACTGAACACATTAAGATTTTATAACTTTTAAAATCTATAAATGATATTTATTTTCATCCTTATAGGTATTTCATGATGTTGCTTACAAAGCTAAAGATCGCAATGACTTGGTATCAGGAATTGATGAATTTCTGGATCAGGTTACTGTTCTTCCTCCTGGAGAATGGGATCCCAGCATTCGTATAGAGCCTCCAAAAAATGTTCCTTCCCAGGTATGCATACTTGAAAATACTTGTCTTTTAAATATATGTACCAAAATAGTATCACCTATCACAAGGATTGACATGCTTAAATTATAACCTCTGTGATGTTGTGCTCTATAATAAGAAATATATATTTGGTATTCCTTTTGTTTCTAGCACAGAGCTCCTAAAACTTTGAGAATTTCCTGTTACTAGAGTAACAAAAGTGTCTTTTGTTAGGTTGAGGAAGGAGTGTTTTGGAACTCACTTAAAGAGGGGAGCTGATTGCCAGCAATGCCAACCATATAATTAGGTGGTTGGAACTTTCAGTTTCACCCTTCCTCCTTTGGGGAGGGGAGAGGAGCTGGAGATTGAATTCAATTCCCAATGGCCAATGTTGTAATCAATCTGTCTCTGTAATGAAGCTTCCATAAGACCCCAAAGTATGGGGTTCAGAGAGCTTCAGTGCTGGTGAACACATGGCGGTTGAGGAGAGTTGTGCACCGGGAGAGAACATGGACACCGCTTGCCCTTTCCCCTTATCTTCCCTTTGCATCTCTATCATGGGCTGTTCCTGAGTTATATCCTTTTATAGTAAACTGGTGGTCTAGTAAGTACAATGTTTCTCTGCGTTTTCTGTGATCCACTCTGACAAATTAGTTGAACCCCAAGGAGGGGGGTCTTGGGAACCTGAGCTTGCAACTTTTAACTGAAGTAGGGGGGAGGGCAGTAAGGGGACAGCCTTGCAGGACTGAGTCCTCATCCTGTGGTATCTGATGCTATTTCTGGGGAGATAGTGTCAAAATTGGGTTGAAATATAGGACACCCAGATGGTGTCTGGAGCATTGCTTGGTGGTGCTAGGGATGCCCACTTTCTTCCACATGGAATTGGTACCAGAACCTATTTAACCTTCAAGAAGTTAGAAAATCTTCCGTGATCGCATGTAACACACTTCACTGAGAAATTTGGTCTATTGATGATATACTACTAAATAAAACAGTCCCATATCCCTGGAAAGATTTTAGACCCATCTAAAAACATATTATACTGGAGGAAAATTAAATTTGTAATAAAGATGTAAAATATGGCATAAGAAAAAGTCCTTTACTGCCTTCCTATATTCTGATGCATCACTTAGAAGTTAGCAAGTATTAAAAAAAAATTGAAAGGCATGGCTTAGTTTTATTATATAGAAAACGTTTCTATTACTGCTGATCATATTAATTGGGAAGCATTTTTAAGTAAAATTCTTATGTTTGTTTTATCTTGGTGTGGGTGTGTGACATAAAAATTGAAGAAATTCTGTTTATAAAAATTTAATGCACATTTACTCGTGTCATATATATATATATATATATATATATATATATATATATATATATATATAATGTCCCTCCCCCCAGGAAAATAGAAACAAAGATTGTTGCTATTATTTGGGTTCATTTTTTTAATGTAGGCATGCTTTTGTTGAGAGTGGTGACCAAATGTTTGTTAATCCCACTCATAGTATCACCTCTATTTCTACTGAGTCTGCCTCCTACAACTATCCCAGTTGTCATCGAGTCAGCCTTGTTTGGGGCTCTTGTCCCTGCGGAGTCCAGGCTGGTCTGACTTGACTACACTAGTTGAAGTAACAGATGGTCTAATTGACCCAATCCTGGACATGGAAGTTCTTTTAGTTAGCTAGAGATGTGCAAGTGAGCAGATATACCATTCAAATGTGCCTATTTTAAAAAGGCGTCATAATTCCACTCTCAATGCAAGGAAAATAAGCTGACATCTGCCTTATTTCTGTGTTTTCATCCTGAAGTCATTTCATAACATTAAAGATAATGTGCTTTTCTTTTCTCAGCAATAACAATTTTGTCATTCTATAACTGCAGCCATATATTTTCAGTTAATCTACTGCTAAAATAAAAGAAGTTGCTTAAGGAGTAATTTTAAGGGTTGTACACTATCCTATTTTTGTACTTGTTTACATCTTTGCCATTACAATAGTAGAAAAGGTGATATAATGCTTTCTGAAATACTAAGCTTTTTAATTGGTGTTATTTAGAAAATTTAACAAAAATATAAATACATTGAGACAGACTTTTAAAGTCACTTTTTAATACCAATTAGTTTTTCTTTTTTTTCTTTTTTCTTTATTGTGGCAAAATGTATATAGCAGAAAGTTTTACCATTTTTTAAGTGTACAGCTCAAGTGTCATTACAAATTTTGCACATTGTTGTGCAGCTATTACCACTCCCTGTCTCTAGAACTTTAAAAAAAAAAAAACCTTTATTGTTGAGTTTCATAATTTTTCTTTATTTTAAAAAATCCCTGTTAGTTTGTCAAACATTAAAACTGAAGTTAAACTTTTTTTTTTAGAACACCTTGTCTTTGAGTAATGATGTTATTAAGGCAAGTTGAAGCATGGGAGCTCTGTATTTTTAAAATTATTTTTATGAGGTGATCAGAATGTATTGGGAGGCAATAGTAGAAAGAACATTGAGTTAAAAATTAAGACCTCTGGGTTCTGATCTTATTTATTTGTATGATCATGAACAGATGTCCTAACCTCTCTATACTGACATTCTATGTCAGCATGTCTAATAGAAATTTCTGCAAGGATAGGAAATTTCTATATCTATGATATATAACAAATCAAGTCACTATTGAGCACAAGAAATGTACCTATTGCAACTGAGGAACTAAATATTAAACTTAAATTTACTTAAATTTAAATAACCACATGTTTTTAGTGGCTGTCATTTTAGACAACACAGTTTTGTATAATGAATTTGAATTAGAGATAAGCTGTATGCTTCTTTATATTAGTATTTTTAATGTATTGATATGTTGTAATTGAATAACACACTATGAAACTTTTCTTTTATTAGATGAAACAAAATGAAGTACATTAAGTACTCTGACTTCAGACTTGTTCAAATAATGCTTCCCCCATGTGATAATTTCCATGATTGTTATTCTTTTGAAATGTATTAATAATGAAATTTTAGGTATTTTTCCTTTCGGTTAAGAGAAGAATAACCAGTCACCTAAAGTGATAACCCTGAAAATACCATTGTATCAGTCATTATAATCACTCCCTTGTGTATACTCTCAATTTCTTTGCTTTTCTCTCATGCCATTTACTTGCTTGTCAAAACTACAACCCTGTTTGAATGCAACTCTTTAGTCTGTATCTGCCTTGGTACAGGTGAATGTGGCTAAAGGAGAACATGTAATTACACTGAGTGATCTCACATAATTCTTGACTACATACCCCAAGTGGGCCCTTAATGTTACAAGTTCATAGTCCAATCATTCTCTCTAGATGACATTTCACACCTGTTTTCTCTCCTCAAACCATCATCACATCCTTTCTGACCTTCACTCTTAGATGTTGGCTTGCTTTTTACTTTCCCGAGAAATATAAAATGATTAAAAGAGAATTTCCACAGACTCCCACCACCCCAGCTATCCACCTGCCAGCATCTTCATCCGCATACTCTGCCTCCCATATAATACTATTGATGAATTATCCAAAGTCAGCCTCCTACCTGTGTACTCCTACCCATCTCTTCACACACCTACTCAAAGACATATCTACCAATTATCCTTTTTCTTCCCTGTCTCATAATTTCTTTTGCTCTGTATCATCTGTTAGCATACAGCATTGTTAATTCTCATATCTTAAAAAAAGAATTGTTAATATTGCTGCCACTGCAACTAAATGCCACAGAAAAGTTCTCTGGACTGCCTGCCTCCAATCCCTCTCCTCCAATTTTCTCTTAAACCTACTCAAGTAAGTCATTTGCTTCCCTAACTTCACTAAAATTACTTGAAGGCTATCAAATATCTCTACAATGCAAAATTTCATGGTCCACCTCAGTCTACATGTTATTTGGCCTATTAATCATCAACATTTGGCAGAGCTGATAACTCTTTGGTATACTTTTTTCTTTGGCTCCAAAACACCACACTCTTGATTTTCTTTGTACCTTACCACACTTTGGTTTTTACTTCTTCCCAGTCTTCTTTTCTGGTTTATTCTCTTCTCTTTGATTTCTTTATGTTGAAGTGATGCAGGATTCAGTCCTTAGTCATATCCTGTCCCTTATCGATACTCATTCTCTTGGTACTATCTTCCAATTTTATAGCTTTAAATTTTCTCCCAAATTTATATTTCATCTTGAACTTGAGAGTTATTTATCCAAATGCCTATTGTGTTCTCCTCTTGGATGTCTTTTAGATATATAAAACTTAACATGTCCTAAAGTTTGAACTGAATTGTAGACTATTTTATTTCTGTACACATCTTTGTATTTCTATGAGGAAAGTCAATGTAGTGCTTCCTGAAGTAAAAAAGAAACTGATCTTCTCTTAAATTTTATTCCATCAGCACCTTCCCTTCTTGATAGGACTAATTGCACACTTACAGTTGTACTCACTCCACAGTTATATACAATTGATGGAGCCAAACATTTTACTACTTTTTCTTATACCTGATTTCCAGTCTGCCAGAAAACTTTTGGCAGTGCCTTCTATATCTATCCAGAATAAAACAATTTCCTGCTATTACAACTGCTACCACTGCATTGCAGGCTGCCATCATAATACTTTTGGATTACTGAAATAGCCTCCAAACTGGTCTTGTTTCTACATTTGGTCCCTAGAGTCTGTTCTCAATAAATACCCAGTGCGACTCCAAGTTAGATCATACTCCTCCTTTCCTCAATACCCTGCACAAGTTCATCATTTCACCGAGAATAAAAGCCAGATACAATGGTTTATGAAGCCTCCACAGTCTGTCCTCCCTTCACCTCTCAGGAGTCATCCCTTACCAGTTTCTTCATTGCTTACTCCTCTCCAACTCTATTGACCTGCTTGCTCCTTGTTCTTTAAACCCCATAGCCACTCTGCTGCCTTAGGACTGTCCCACTGGATATGCTTTCTGCATGAATATCCCCTAGTTATTGTCATGGATAACTCCCTGACTTCCTCAAGTTTCTTTAATGACACTTTCTTACTGATTACTGCCTGACCAGTGTATTTATAATTGCCTCGCTCCTCTCTCAACACCCACCCTGTACCTCAACCTCCCTCTTACTCTGCTCTAAATTTCCATGTTTCCATAGCTTTTAATCCATCTAACACACAGTAGAATGAATTAATTTATTTGTTTACTGTTTGCCTTTCCTATTAGAATGTAAGCTCCACAGGCCTGATTTGTCCACTAGACTAATAGTGGTGGGGCCTAGAACCCGACACAAATTGCCTCTCATAAGAATTTATTGTTTGAATGAATAAATTGTATAATTTGAGTAGTCAAATATCTGCTCAACAATTGATTTGTTTTAAAACATCAAAATATGTGTGTTCTGAACAAAAATATTTTCTGTATTATTTCTCAGAATATTCATTGATACTATTCATACACACTTTCTTTCAAATACATTTCCCCCACCCCCTTACTACAAAGGAACACTTCTTGAGGAAAGGGCTCTGTAGACTGGCAAATATTCTTCAATGTTTATCATTGCCTTCTTGGTGTATAGCCTTTTCCACTGTAAAACAATGCGTTAACTTGTCTACTAAAGGATACTTCCACAGAAGACTAATATCACTTGCTTTCTGAGACTTGTGGAAGCTAAGAAATGTTTTCCTAGGTGGTTGAGGGTCATTCTTTTTTTTTTTTTTTTAATTGATTTTTAAAAGGGGGGGAGAGAGGGGGGGGGAATGTGCCCTTACTGGGGCTCTAACCTGTAATCTTCTTGCATCGGGAAGATACTCCAATCAACTGAGTCATTTGGCCAGAGCTGAGGGTTACTCTGAAATCCCTTGACTAAAATATGCTAATTATTTACCTGTAAAGGCATTTCCTTTATTAGTTGACAGGAATCCTTCCTCTTATCTTTTCACTTCAGTTCATTGTACCTATTCATGTTTCTGGGAAATTGTAAAAATATTAAGCAACAAACTTTCCTATATTTTGTTCATGTCAAAACCTATTTTTCTCATGTTTTAACCCCGTACTATTTTATCTAAATGTCCATTGTACATCAGATCCTTCGATAATTCACTTCACACTAAACATGAAGAAAATGTTTACATGTTTAACATGATTTTGGAATGGCAGTCAAGTAAACATTTTAATTAAGCCACTTAACATATTTTTTACAATTCTTTAGGCACTTTTGAATGCATTGGTGTGATCTAAGATCATCAATATATTTTTACAATTTTCAAAAATCTCTGTCACTGACAGAAGTAGGTGGAATACATCTATGGGAAAATAGCACTTGTATAAACCTCAGTTTACTTGTCATTGGCTCAATAGTCTTGGATCTCTATATGAGTAAGAAAGGACCATATAATAAATCATTCTTAGAGTAGGAAGATAGCCAGAATCAAAGAGGAAAATACGGTTTAAAAATAGCTAATGATAATAGTTAATGTTTATTGAACAGTTGAACTATGCCAGGCATACTAACACCATATTAATACCACCTCACCCCAATGTCCCCTGGCCCTGGTCTTTCTGTCCCCTTCTCTAACTTCAGAGCTTTATCTCTACCTGACATTGTAGGTTAATTATTTGTCTTCACTAATGGGATACTTTTTCTCGATCACCTTTGCATCTCTAGTATCCATAACCATAAAGGACACTCACTAGGTACTCAATAAGTATTAGATGAAAGAATGAGAGAATGTCCAAAACCCATTTCATTCTCGTGAGCACATTAATGGTGTAAAGCTTTAGGAAACTAGATAACTTGCAGCAAATAAGTAATGATGTCTGGGTCTTAGTTATTATGCATATTGTCTCAAGGGAAACATTTTGGTTTTGGTATTTATAAGTAGCACCTGATATTTACAAACCAAAACACTTCCAACAGGAGAAGAGGAAGATTCCTGCTGTACCAAATGGAACAGCAGCTCATGGGGAAGCAGAGCCCCACGGAGGACACAGTGGACCTGAACTCCAGCGAACAGGAAGGTTAGTGAAAAGCACCTGTACGGGACTTCGAAGACCAAATGATATACTGTTCTTGTGTGTTAGGAATTGCTGCTTTGAGATCTCATTTTTAAAAATACTTTGAATATGAATTTTGTTTTGGGAGGGAGGGAAAAAATGCCAGTGAATTTTATTTCTCTGTAGTTACCAATGATTGCCATTACCATTAAGTCTGAACAGTGTTTGCATCATTCCATTTTAACTTACCCAGTCTTTCATTTTGCTGTGTATAAAATGCATTCACAGATTCTTAGAATGAATAAGAAAACTGTCAGTTGCCCCTTCCAAAAGAACCCGTTGAAAGCTTCAAGTTTACGATAGAAATAAAAATAAATACCAAGAGAACAGTCTTGTAGACTATATCTCATTACATGCAAGTAGGATGTATATAATAGCATTTTTTACTTTTGCAGTCATAATTTGAAAGAGCTATATAATTTATTTTTCTAATCACACATTTTTGACGAGATGAAAGCTTCAATTTATTTCTTAAAATGGTTCTTTATGGTTTTTTGACAGCTTGTCTTTCTCCAAGCAATGTGTGAGCAGAAAATCAGAAACCCTTGGGTGGGTCTCTCTTCAGAGAATATGTATGCACAGCCTCCATTATAATTGAAGGCAACTGCAAAGGCTTTGCAGCATTAGTGCTCTCTTCCCCTCAAGGCCATTTCCTGAACTGCTTTCACTGTGTTTTCTAAGCTGACTTCCCAGTTTCTACAACTCTGTGCATTTTAATTCTCCTCTGTTCTTTCCCTTGATCTCTGTTTGTCTCTGAGGAAATGTGCTTTAATGTCTTCCTCAGACATAAGAAAGGTTCAAACAATTCTTTCCTTTTCCCTTTACTGGAAACATTGTTACTCCTTCTGCTTTCTTTCATATTTTCAAATGCTGCCTTTTTATTTCTGGTGGTTATAATATATTTTTCCCTCTCAGGTATAATGTGCCACATAGCTTAGACTTTTTCAGAGTTCACCTTTCCTTACTGCTTCCTAAATCCTCCCAGGTCACCCATATCCGGTGTCTTCGCTTCTCCAGAGTTCTTCCACAGATTCTGTTGCTGACATGGCTTGAAGTACCCATTACTCATCTGCTCGCCTGGAGTTGCTGGTGTCCATCTGGGCTGCTCTTGCACTGTTCTCTGTAATGACCTCCCACTTCCGGATTTAGATCCTAGCTGCTAAAAGCACATTTATTACACAGTAACATAAGAGCTATTTGGACTAATGTATGCTCTAATAAATACAATGGTCTAATAGAAAGTACTATCAAACCTATAAATATTAACTACTAATTAATATTTCATAACCACCTCAAGTTCTTTTGGGGGTTAGGTGGGATAGAAATGATAAATGAATGAACAGACTAATAAATTAAATCTACTTTGAATTGTGACTTTGACAAGTTACCAAATCATTCAGAAATGACCCACCCTCCCCAAATAAAAATAATATGTATTTGTTTTACAAAACACAGGTAAAGGAACCTGAAAAGATTTTTGTGTCTGAACTTCACAGGTTCTCTGCAGGAGTTTCTGAGTTTCAAATGTCCCTTTTATCTTCAATTTAAAATTTACCCTCTCAGCATCTCCTACTCCATATCCCTCTGATGGAAGTAATCACTGGGAAAACATAGTGATTCTATCACTCACATAATAGTTATAAAGTTATTTAATATGTTACTATTGAGTGCATGTCAGGGAGATTAAAAATAATACTCAAAATCTTCAGTTATACTGAAGATGTACATTTTTTAAGGCAAAGTAACTTTGTTTCTTAATTACACAGTCATTTTTGAGGTTATTATTAGATTGCAAATGAATATTCCTATTTAGAAGATAATAAAAGTTTAATATTTTCCCATAATTTAAGTGTATTCAGCATAGTGACAGTATATTGGAACAATGTAATAGGTATTTTTTTTAACCTCCATGTAGGAACTTAACCATAGTCTTATTAATTTTAATATGGTATTTTTATTCCATGGAGCACAAAGAAGTTTCAGTAGTCAAGTGTTAAGTCTGCATGTGATTACTAAATGTTCAAAATATGAGAATACCTGCTCATTAGTATTCTATTTCTAAGAGGTCAAAAACATTCAATCTTCAAATTAGGGAACATGTCACAATTTAATACTATCTCTCCCTACCCTCCAAGGCTCTTTCAAGTGTTTCAGTTTGGCTTTGAATATATTTTAAAAAATGAATTTATACCAAGTAAGGTTATTACTGTCTTGTGAATGACAGAAATTGGAATATATCTAGGCAATAAGGGATTCACCTTTATGGTCATGAGTTCCTTCTTCTAGTTGCCTTTGCCTAACAGTGAAAACAGCTGTGGAAGCTACCTCTCTCATTCAAAGGCCATTTGGATGGTTGCCTGGAACAACATCTGGGGAGGGTGCTATGTGTGTGTTTGGCAGAAAGAGTAGCTAACTAGTTCACCCTCCCGCCGGCATTTCCTGCTAGCTAAACAAAATGCAAACAATTAAAAAATACTTCCAACAATTCCAAGTAGCAGCCCTGAGATTAAGAATAGGTTGATGTAGAAATGGCACAGAAATATTTGGAGTAATTCTAAATCTCATTATTTGAAATTGGACTGATGAACAGCTCTGAACCTTGTTTGAGAGAACCTGGGGTTTTTTGTTTGTTTATTTATTTTTTTGGCCGTTAATACAGTATTTGGCTAGGAATTGAGCAAACATAGTTGTGCAAAGCCATCCCTGTAGATCATGATAATGCAATGTAGCAGGTTCATGTTGAGTCTCATCTCAGCTGATGGAAAACCTATACTGGGACCTGGACATTTTGCTTTGTATGTCTTTTATATTTGGATTTCACTGTTGTGTTTCCTCCCCCTGTTTTAGGATTTTTGGGGGACTTATTTTAGATATCAAAAGAAAAGCTCCATACTTCTGGAGTGACTTCAGAGATGCATTCAGCCTGCAGTGCTTAGCATCTTTTCTGTTTCTCTACTGCGCGTGTATGTCTCCTGTCATCACATTTGGAGGACTGCTGGGAGAAGCCACTGAAGGTCGTATAGTACGTAGCATGCTTTTCTCTGAACTTCGAAACTAATCCATTTTTAAGATTCCAGTTAGATAAGTGAGCGTTTGGTCTGGCAGATAACTTTATATGAATTTCCTGGATGGTAGTGCAACTGGTAATCTGGGAGTGGAAATATCTCAAAACAATTACTTATGAGTCTCACACAAGCTTCTGATCACAACTCTGGCCCCCCTCCTAGGCTAGTTTTAGGCTGTGGTTCTTCCCTCACAAGAGATTCATTCCCATATTTACAAGCCAGGCTTCTGTCCATTCACATGCCACAAAGTATGTAAACTTTTAGTGAGCAAAAGAAAAGCAAGGTAAGGAAGGTGGAGAAGACATATCCCTACTCACTACCATTTATTTTTGGCCGACTGCCTGCATCTTATTTTTATTCTTCTATCCCACATCTTGCCCAAGGTTGCTAGGATTTTCATTGCAAAGGAAAAATAATATGCTCTTGTATTTTAAACTTTTCTCCCCAGTTATAATGGGTACCTGTGTAGCTTACTTAGATAATGAAATAATTTATATCTCTACACAGAGTGCAATCGAATCTCTCTTTGGAGCATCCATGACTGGAATAGCCTACTCTCTCTTTGGTGGACAGCCTCTTACCATATTAGGCAGTACAGGACCAGTGTTGGTGTTTGAAAAGATTTTGTTTAAATTTTGCAAGTAAGTGTTATATATGTTTGGCTCTTAGCCCCTTTCTGTTTCTCTACCGTGTGTATTCTTCTCCCAACATGACGTTTAGAAGTCTTCTGGGAGAGGTGGAAGTGGCTGATTTGATTCAGTGTGCCATTTTTGCCTCTCCATGAAAATAAAGGAAAACAAAAACGATTTGTGTATAATGTTTTGAGATGTTTGTAAAAAATTATATTCAGTTCTCTACCAAGAGCTCCTGCTCGTTTTATCCTCATAGTGTTCCCTTTAGACAAAGTCTTCAGTTTGGATACTCATGGGATATGAAGCTATTTACTTTCACATCATGAATTGGACTTATTTCCATCTGTTTAAAATAGTGGCAAGCTGTAAAATGACCTTCTTTCTGCTATTCCTTTTCTCCTCCTAGAGAATATGAGCTGTCATACCTCTCTTTAAGAGCCAGCATTGGACTTTGGACTGCAACACTCTGCATCATACTCGTGGCCACGGATGCAAGCTCCCTTGTTTGCTATATCACCCGGTTTACTGAGGAAGCTTTTGCTTCTCTTATTTGCATCATTTTCATTTATGAAGCCCTAGAGAAGTTGTTTGAACTCAGTGAGGCATATCCAATCAACATGCATAATGATTTGGAACTGCTAACACAATACTCGTAAGTACTATTTCCCCTGTTGGCTGCGGGGCTTTCCTTTTAACAAACATTGCTATTGTTATAAGGAATGTGAGGAACTTACTCAGCAGATAAAGTGCCTTAAATTGATTCATGACCTAAATCCTGCACTCTCAAAGTGGAACAGGATTTTAAAAGTCATCTAATGAGCCACTTATCAGGTACTTATGGTCTCAATATAACAACTCTGCCTAGAATATCTTTTTTGGAGTTTTATTTGTCAGGAATTCCCTATTAAGTAGTGAACCAAGGTCAATTTTGATATGTAGGCATTTTGTTTTTGAAAATACATATGATTTTTGTTTTTCTTTACAGCCTTTTCAATTTACTATAATTCAAAGGAAACTGAAAATATAAGATTTCAGATTTAGAGCAATATGGTAAAAGAGATTCTATTGGGTCAATAAAAAGATAAACAAAAATCATTGAATTGATATATAATATTGCTTTTGCAATGTATGACATTTCTGATAGAAGTACTCAGATATTGCTTTTTGAAGTTAATATATAGTTTAGAGTTAAAATAGGATTGAACCTATTGATCTTTCTAGTTTTAGTTGGTCAATAGTTTAGAATCTCTCTAAGGCTATGTTTATATACTGTATGTGGACATTATATTTGCCCTTTCTTGTTCTTAATCTGAATATTTTTGTTGACTTTGTTTATACATTTTTATATAGCAAGCATTTGAAGCAATATGTTTTTATGGGGCAGTTATATCCTCTGCATCAACCACCAGTGCTCTGATTAACTGCTTAGATATGGCCTCAAATGTTTTAAAGATTTATTACCTTTGTTATTAGAATAATTTGAAATTAGATCAAAATAGTGCAATGTATAATTTTGTAAAGAAAAAAGTAGTGATAGGGCTAAAAAATAACATGATTTTTATTTATTTAGTAATTTTTTAATTAGAATTTATATTCAATATTTTGTATTAGTTTCAGTTTTACAGCACACTATTTAGACAATCATATACTTTACAAAGTAATTCCTCAATATTTCAAGTACCTAACTGGCACTATATGTAGTTATTATAATATTATTGACTATATTCCCCATGCTGTGCTTCACATTCCTGTGATGTTTTTGTAATTATTAATTTGTAATTCTTAATCCCTTTACCTTTTCACCCAGACCCCAATCCTCATTGTCTCTGGCACTATCAGTCTGTTTTCCATATCAATGTGTGTGTTTATATTTTGTTTTTGCATTTATTTTGTTCTTTAGATTTCACATATAAGTGAAATTATATGATATTTGTCTTTCTCTGTCTGACTTATTTTACTTAGCATAATACCCTCTATGCTATCACAAAAGGTAAGACATCATTATTCTTTATGTCCAAGTAATATTCCATTGTATATATGTACCACCACTTTTTTTATCCACATATTTCTTGATGGGCACGGGTAATTTTCATATTTTTGCTATTGAAAATAATGCTGCAATGAACATAGGGGTGCATATATGCTTTTGAATTTGTGTTTCAGGTTTCTTTGGATAAATTTCCAGAAGTGAAATTGCTGGGTCAGAAGGCAGTACAATTTTTGAATTTTTTGAACCTCCATACTACTTTCCACCAATCTGCACTCCCACCAATTGTGCACAAGGGTTTCTTTTCCTCTACATTCTCACCAACACTTGTTTGTTGATTTATTGATGGTTACCGTTCTGACAGGTGTGAGGTGATATTTCATTGTGGTTTTAATTTGCATTTCTTTGATGATTAGTGACATTGAGCATTTTTTCATATGTCTATTGGCCATCTGTATTGACACTTTGGATAAGTGTCTATTCAAATCCTCTGGCCATTTTTTAATTGAAGTGTGTTATTTTTTAATTTTTTATTTTTTAGCTGTTGCATTGTATGTGTTTCTTATGAATTTTGGATATTAACCCCTTATTGGATATATCATTGGTGAATATCTTCCCTTGTTTAGCAGATTATCTTTTTTTATGGTTTTCTTTGCTGTGCAAAAGCTCTTTAGTTTGATGTACCCCCATTTGTTTATATTTTCTTTTGTTTCCCTTGCTTCAGGAAATATATCAGAAAAAATATTGCTAGAGAAATGTCTAACATTTTACTGTCTATGTTTTCTTTTAGGGTTTTTATGGTTTTGAGCCCAGCATTTAAGTCTTCAATCCGTTTTTAGTTTATTCTTGTGTGTCATGTATGATGTGGTCTACTTTCATTTTTTGGCACATATCTGTGTACCCTATTTTTCGGGCCATAAGATGCTCCGGACCATAAGACGCACCAGTTTTTAGAGAAGGGAAATGAAGAAAAAAAGATTCTGAAACAAATAGTGTCCTAAAATATTTTATGTGCATTAAAACCCAACATCACAGTCATAAACACATGTAATCAACCCTGTAATGTAAACAGCAGCATTTAGAATCATTTTAGAGCCACGCAAGCACACAGAGACCACACAGAGCCGGGCAAGTAAAAAAACTTTTTTTTAAAAGTATATGTGTAGGCTATATTTGGACCATAAGACGCAGGGACTTTTCCCCCCCCCACTTCGGGGGGAAAAAAGTGCGTCTTATGGTCCGAAAAATACGGTAATTTCCCAACATTATTTATTAAATAAGCTTTTTTTTTTTTTTTTTTTTTTTACCCCATTGTATGTTCTTACCTTCTTTGTTATATATTAATTGATCATGTAGGTGTGGGTGTATTTCTGGGTTCTTCATTCTGTCCCTTTGATCTATTTGTCTTTTTTTATGCAAGTACCAGGCTGTTTTGATTGTTATAGCCTTGCAGTATAGTTTGATATTAGATAATGTGTGGTACCTCCAAATTTGTTCTTCTTTCTTTAGTTTCTGTGGCTATTTGGGGTCTTTATTGGTTTCTTATACATGTAGGTCTTTGTTGTTGTTGTTGAGTATGATGTTAGCTGCATGTTTGTCTCATATATATGTGATTTTTATTATGTTGAAATATGTTCCCTCTATTTCTACTTTGTTGAAAGTTTTTATCATAAATGGGTGCTGCTGGATTTTGTCAAATGCTTTTTATGCATCTTTTGATATGATCATGTGACTTTCATCTTTCCTTTTGGAAAATAATGTGATTTTTAGTACTTTACTTTTTCACAGATAGCTTTAAACAGTATACTTCTGTTTTTTGGACAAGAAAACAAGAGTGGAAACAAAATAACTTTTCTAATAAAAGCAAATAGTGAGGGTGTTATGAATAGGTTTCAAAAATGAATGAAGGAGGTGTCAGGGACACTCTGAAAGCAGGCAGATAGGAAGAGCAGTTTGATTAGAGTGAGTGATAACAGTGATACTTGCCTTTTCATTTATCTTCAGTTTCAAAAAGAGCAGTGCCCCCTAATTTGGATATTTTTGCTAGGGTATATATTCATCTCTTCAAATCTACCACTTGCTAGATGCTATGCTAGGTGCTAATGAAATCATGAATTATATTCTGTTCTCAATGAGCTTCCAGTTTAATATGGGAATGCAGACAAACAGACATCACTTAGATTTCCTTAAAGTCATAGTTTTACAAACCAAATAATAGAATGTCTTTGATTTTGTTAAGACACTCATAGTATCTCTGGCATCCTAATTTTATAATGTGGTAATAATATGTAGACCTTATATTCAAAGCTATGAACTTTTCTTTCATTGTGCCAAGAGCAAGTGTCAAGATAATCAATTTAATTTCAAGAATATATACATTACACCAGATGATCAAGCTGAATTTGTCAAGTTAGCAATAAGTAATGAGTTTGTGGAAATAACTTCTTCTAGGTTGCCTTGATTTTTAAAAATGGCAAAAATAGAATAAATCACTCTGCTTATGAAAGATGAGATGTTTCTTCAAATATATTGTAATAATCTAAAGCTCTCAAAGATGGCTAGCTAAGGAAAGGTTGGGGCTGTATTAACTCTTTTTAGTTGGTTGAATCAAAGCAAAGAGCAGGGTCTATTACTCTAACTTGTTAACATACAGGAGTTGAATAATTACAGAGCTATTAAAAAGTATGATATCATTGCTAGGTTATGGGAAGGATTTATTTTGAATTTTGATCTTTTTCCTATTTTTTTATTGTTGTTTTTTTTCCCCCAGCAAACAGCACTCTATAAAACCCTGTTTGTTAAATAATAAATGTAAAGTACATAAACTGAATACCTTATCACAAACTAAATTTTTAAACAGAAATATATGATAAGCTAACTGAACTTGGATAGTTCTACATATATCGAGTAAAAATTGTGTTCAAACAAGTTAACATACAATATTGTAAGTAGCGATTATTACTCATAATTTTTTTTTCATTTACATGGGTTTTAAGGGTATAAAAATCCAGTGGAATTTTTGGAAGAACATTTTATTATGAATATTTGATTTTAAAAAACTCATTTACCTATTTAAATTTTGTCTGCTCTTTACCCCTGAAATCATGTGTATCAGTGGTTGAGAAACAGTGCTTTAAATACATCTTAAATTTTCAGCAGTTGGAAGAACTATTAAGAAGCTGGAAGATTCTACCATTTTAGGCAAAGATGAGGGATACCATTTTTTCAGTTGCACAGGCTGACATATGTTTTAAACAAACATTTATTGGCAAATGTGGGCAAAACATTTCCTGCTTTTATAATTGAAAAAAAATATATACCATGGGTACTTCCTTCTTTTAGATATAAAATAAAACTTTTGGAAGAAATATAATTAGCCTTCTATGAATCGTTATCTCTGAAAATGTTCATCACATCTCAACAAATTGAAATACTGTGCATTTAATATACAAACACAACACCTGTGGCCATTTAATGCATCTTAATGAAGAAATCACTAATACCTGCTTAGTACTCTCCCTTTAATATGGATGTTTGTGCAAATTTTTGCCCTTTCATAGCTATTTGACAAGAAAGTATGGAGGATAGATCTATTTCAGGTTTGCAAATCTATAGTTAAAGAGAAAGAAAATAGTAGATGGAGTAGATCTGAGAAATAACATTGT